TTCTTTAGATATCTTCTTCTACAGAACAAATTGATGGATGTTCACCAAACTTTGTCTGTAGCATTCTTTGGTAGTATTTTATCAAGTTTGCTAATTTATTTTGATTGGCCCCTTTTAGGGGTCTCTAGGGCTAAAAATAGAAACACCTTTAAACATCTTCTACAGAACTAATTGATGGATGATCACCAAACTTTGTCTGTAGCATTCTTAGGTAGTCTTTTATCAAGTTTGCTTATATTATTTTGATTGGCCCCTTTTAGGGGTCTCTAGGGTTAAAAATAGAAAAACCTTTAAACATCTTCTCCTACAGAACTAATTGATGGATGATCACCAAACTTTGTCTGTAGCATTATTGGGTAGTGTTTTATCAAGTTTGCTCTGGCCCCTTAGGGGCCGCTAAAGCTAAAAATAGAAAAAACCGTTAAACGTCTATTTCTAGACAACTAATTGATTCATGATCACCAAACTTTTCTGTAGCATTCTTGGGTAGTGTTTTATCAAGTTTGCTCATATAAATTTGATTGGCCCCTTTTAGGGGATGCTAAAGCTAAAAATAGAAAAACCTATAAACGTATATTTCTACAGAACTAATTGATGGATGTTGACCAAACTTTTTCTGTAGCATTCTTAGGTAGTCTTTTATCAAGTTTGCTAATATTATTTTGATTGGCCTCTTTTAGGGGTCTCTTGGGCTAAAAATAGGAAAACCTATAAACGTCTATTTCTACAGAACTAATTGATGGATGATCCCAAAACTTTGTCTGTGGCATTCTTGGGTAGTCTTTTATCAAGTTTGCTCATATCAATTTGATTGGCCAATTTTAGGGGCCGCTAAACCTAAAAATAGAAAAACCGTTAAATGTCTATTTCTTGAGAACTAATTGATGGATGTTCACCAAACTTTGTCTGTAGCATTCTTTGGTAGTCTTTTATCAAGTTTGCTAATATTATTTTGATTGGCCCCTTTAAGGGGTCTCTATAGCTAAAAATAGAAAAACCTTTAGATATCTTCTTCTACAGAACAAATTGATGGATGATCACCAAACTTTGCCTGTAGCGTTCTAGGTTAGTCTTTTATCAAGTTTGCTCATATTAATTTGATTGGCCCCTTTTAGGGGCTCTATAGCTAAAAATAGAAAAACCTTTAGATATTTTCTTCTCCAGAACAAATTGATGGATGTTCACGAAACTTTGTCTGTAGCATTCTTTGGTAGGCTTTTATCAAGTTTACTAATATTATTTTGATTGGCCCCTTTTAGGGGTCTCTAGGGCTAAACATAGTAAAACCTTTAAACATCTTCTCCTACAGAACTAATTGATGGATGATCACCAAACTTTGTCTGTAGCATTCTTTGGTAGTGTTTTATCAAGTTTGCTCATATAAATTTGATTGGCCTCTTTTAGGGGCCACTAAAGCTAAAAATAGGAAAACCGTTAAATGTCTATTTCTAGAGAACTAATTGATGGATGATCACCAAATGTGTCTGTAGCATTCATGGGTAGTCTTTCATCAAGTTTGCTAATATTATTTTGATTGGCCCCTTTTAGGGGTCTCTAGGGCTAAACATAGAAAAACCTTTAAACATCTTCTCCTACAGAACTAATTGATGGATGATCCCCAAACGTTGTCTGTAGCATTCTTTGGTAGTGTTTTATCAAGTTTGCTCATATAAATTTGATTGGCCTCTTTTAGGGGCCACTAAAGCTAAAAATAGAAAAACCGTTAAATGTCTATTTCTAGAGAACTAATTGATGGATGATCACCAAATTTGTCTGTAGCATTTATGGGTAGTCTTTTATCAAGTTTGCTAATATTATTTTAATTGGCCCCTTTTAGGGGTCTCTAGGGCTAAAAATAGAAAAACCTTTAAATATCTTCTCCTACAGAACTAATTGATGGATGATCACCAAACTTTGTTCAAGTTTGCTAATATTATTATGATTGGGCCCTTTTAGGGGTCTCTATGGCTAAAAATAGAAAAACCTATAACCTATTAATTAGTAAAAATTTATCAAGTTTGCTAATATTATTTTGATTGGCCCCTTTTAGGGGTCTCTAGGGCTAAAAATAGAAAAACCTTTAAACATTTTCTCCTACAGAACTAATTGATGGATGATCACCAAACTTTGTTTGTAGCATTCTTGGGTAGTGTTTTATCAAGTTTGCTCATATAAATTTGATTATCCCCTGTTAGGGGTCTCTTTAGCTAAAAATAGAAAGAAACCGTTAAATGTCTATTTCTAGAGAACTAAATGATGGATGTTCACCAAACTTTGTCTGTAGCATTCTTGGGTAGTTTTATATCAAGTTTGCTCATATTAATTTGATTGGCCCCTTTTAGGGGTCTCTATAGCTAAAAATAGAACTAATTGATGGCTGATCACAAAACGTTGTCTGTAGCATTCTTTGGTAGTCTTTTATCAAGTTTGCTCGTATGAATTTGATTGGCCCATTTTAGGGGCCGCTAAAGCTAAAAATAGAAATACCTTTAAATGTCTATTTCTAAAGAAGTATTAAACCTTCGAACATCATTTCCTATTGAAATTATTGAGAGATGATCACCAAACTTTGTAGCATTCTTAGTGAGTCTTTTATCAAGTTTGCTCATATTAATTTGATTAGCCCCATTTAAGCTAAAGCTTAAATGCCTCCAGTCATGGCATTTCTTCAAATTATTGTTTAAACATATTCTATGCTCAAATTTAATGTTAGAATATATTGACATTCCAACACTGAAACGCAGATGTTTCTGGTGAGCGACTCAGGGCCATCATGGCCCTCTTGTATGATGGCCTTCTTGTCTCATTTATTCTTTTACTTTCTTATTGTTTCATGGACTTACTTCAAATTCAAAAATAAACATTCATTATCAACACCTACGTTATAATTATATATATATTTCAATTTTCATCTTTGTTACAATACAGTTTAGTGGTCTATTTGAAAATTGTTATTTTTTCACTTTTTTGTGACTATAAATGATATCTTTAAACTTAAAATAATTGTTCTTTGTTACACTTGCATCATGTATGACAATATTCATAATTCATCTTTTAAGGGTTTTCTCTTTAAGAATTTTGCTTAAAAAATGTTATATTTTGGTAAAAGGGATGTTTAAAAAAACAACTTTAGATTGTCCTTCTGTCCGTCTGTCGGTTCATAAAAACTGTTTCCGGAGATCGCTTTTAATTATTTTTTTTCAACAAATTTACTTAAAATAGAGAAAAGTTGAAACATTAGTTATACTTATTCATCCTGAGAAAATTGAACCCTTTTCTGTTGTAAGAACATAATTTCCTTGCCAGGCAGGGAAAGTTAACACATTACTATGATACAGACAAACTAAGAACTCAAAAATTTAAGTTCATTCATGTCATGCATTCAATGCCATAATTGAATGGCCAGTGGTCCTTTAGAATGTTGCTGGGGTTCTAACCGGAAGGGGACTTAGGGATTGCTTGCAATACTATGATAATTGCTTGTTTTTTGAATGAATTCAAACTAAAATACTACATTCTTTTAGAAAAGACATTAATGTTAACTAGATAGGCCTTGACCTCCATTCATAAATGATCTTGACCTAGAAGCTCAAGTTATTGAAATTTTCTCTCATTTTTGCTGTAACTGGCTGTGACTTTGTTATGAATGTTTAGACTTGCATTGAAAGTTTGGTTCGGGCCAGAATTATTTTCCATTAAACTTGCCCAACACTTTGGGCGAGTAAGATTTTATAATTTTTATGCTCCCTAAGGGGCTATATTAAAATTGCACCGTTCGTACGTCTGTGTGTCCCCACTTCATTTGTGTCTGGACTGTCACTTTGTTATACATGGAGGGATTTTGAAAAAGCTTTGCACAAATATCTACCACATCAAGACTATTTGTCGCACCCAAAGATCTTGTCCTACCTCAAAGGTCAAGGTCACACTAACACTTTGAAGTTTCAACATTATCACAATTAGAATTAATAGGTTCACACATTCGTGTCCGGACTATAACTTTGTCATGCATCAAAGGATTTTAAAATAACTAGGCATAAATGTCTACCACATCACGACAATATGTCACGTTCAAGAATTACGTCCCTACCTCAAAGGTCAAGGTCACACTACCATTTAAAAAAATTCACTTAATCACAATAAGAGTTTATAAGTACACACATTTGTGTCTGGACTGTAATTTTGTCATGCATCGGAGAATTTTAGTATAACTTGGCATAATTGTCTACCACATCAAGGCAATGTGTCACATTTAAGAATCACGTCCCTACCTCAAAGGTCAAGTTCACACTACCATTTTGAAGTTCACTTTTACACAATTAGAGTAAATAAGTACATTCATTTGTGTGCAGACTGTAACTTTGTCATGCAACAAAGGATTTTAAGGTAATAAGGCATAAATGTCTACCAAATCAAGACCACATGTCGCGTCTAAGACCCATATCCCTACCTTCAAGGTCACACTTATAGTCTAAATGTACACATTCTGTAACAGACTGTAACTTTGTCATGCATGGAAGGATTTTAGAATTAGTTGGTACAAATGTCTACCACATCAAGACAATGTGTTGTGGCTAAGACTCATGTCCGTCTGTCCCTCCGTGCGTCCCCACTTACACAGCAATTAGGTCCAGACTGTAACTTTGTCATGCATTAAGGGATTTTGAAATAACTTGGCACAAATGTCTATAACTAGAGTTTGAAGGAACACATTAGTTTCGAAACTGTAACATTGTCATGAATACAAGGATTTTAAAATAATTAGGCATAAATGTCTTCCACATCAAGATGATGTCTGGGCAATCCCCCGTAATTTTGAAATCCTAGATGCAACACTGGACATTATTGTCATTGTAAACGGGCTGAAAATCATATGTGTGTACCAAATACATTGTTTCAATTACTGATTTAATTTATTGCATTGATGATAATATTCAGTATGTAAAAGTATCATATTTATTGTCTTAAAATGTTTAAAGAATGTAAATCCTTTTTTTCAGACACCAATTGCAAAGAAACAGTTTATTTTACACTATCCCCCAGTTCCCAAAGGATGGAAAATAGTCGATATCTTTATCGAAAGTGATAGATTCAAAATACTGAATAAAACATTGTCTTGTCATATTGATAACCTTTACTCAACAACCATAGATATTCCTTTGAAACTTTTAGAACGCCATTCAGTTATGTCATTCCATTATGTTGTTGTCTGGAAGTACACAGGCTTTGGCAGAACATTTGTTTCTGACCATAAGGAAAGCAGCAAAACATTTTATCTTGATGAATCAAACTGTCATCGTCATTTATGGGAGCAGTCTAACATAAAGATGTCTGTAGAGGACACTGCCTTTGGATACATAGAACATTTAAAGGACATTATATTTCATTGTTCTTCAAATCAAGAGACAAAGTCAACATGCATAGAAATAGAAACATTCTGTAGCAAGAAGCACTTTTCAAGAGAAGAGGCATTTGAAATCTTAACGATTTTGACAGGCAAACTTTCAGAGCTTGGCTATAGGCCAAATGATTGTCTAATGTTTCTTGTTATTGTAAAATGTTTGTTAACATCATATGATGTGATAGTAAGGAATAAACTTGTTAATGCAGAAACAGCTAAGAAGCTACTGCAGGCACTGCAATCATCTAGTTTAAATGACGTTCCTTCTTCAAGTCAGCGTGATATACAGTCTGTATACTATCAATTCTGCGCGATAGCATTAGGTAGCCATATGTGTTGTTTGACATACTTATGGATAGCATATCCTTTCTATGATGAAGAGTATGTCCTTAAAAGGATTGAATCATATGTTACGTCTAACGCAATAATATGTCAGAATTCAGAAACCATGCTTCCTTTTGCAAACGAACTCTGTTCAAAACTGTACAAAAAAGCTCTATCTGTCACAGACACTAGCCCTGCAAAATCTATTCTGGAAAAGCTAGTTCGGAACCTACCTTTAAACGTATCAATGGATGTATTTGCCAACCTTTACAGAGATGAAGAGGCGCTATCATCAAATGAGTCAAACGTTCAAAGTACTATTTACGGCACTATTTCTGTTCGTGTTGAGAAAATGCTTGTAGACTCAAAGAAGTCCAACAACCTTTCAAGTCTTTTAGCAGGCTGGAAATCTATTCAGAGATTCAAATCCCTTTCGGTAAAATTCAAAAACAAATATGAGCATGCAATTATTCACATTTTAGAGTCACAATCAAATTACTCTGAATCGGTTCAAGAGATCATAGATAGCTTTATCTACCAGTTTGGATTTTTTAAAGAGAAGCCAAAGCAAAAAGAGTTGATAGATGTAGTTGTTAAATCAAAAAATGCAGAGATAAGTAAATTGTTTATATCTCTAGCCAACAGCTCTGTTATGTGTGAATTATTTATGGAACTTGAAACATCGCAATTTAGGCAGTATTGTATGGCCTTTATTTCGGGAACTTCACAGTATATGGGTCGCGAATTTACATTTCGCTATGTATGTGAACATCTTAACAGTATCTCGCTCATGCAACAAATGGAAAGGAGGGCAGATTTCAGAAATATATGGGAGAACTTGTTGCTGGAGGAATTGCAAAAATACAGGTTTCGGGAAGTTCTACAGAAAATAAAACTTCTTGAAATATTGGCTAGAGACAATCAACAATTTGGAATAGTTTTCCTCAAGTACGTAAGAGCAAATCTGTTGTCAAACATGGAAGCCTTTCGTCCAGAGGAGTTATTTCGATGGTTAGATGGATATAGTGAATCACCGCAAGTAAATGATAGGTAACAACAATTTAATCTATAATATGATAATTGGAGTTTTTCTAAAACCCTTCTTGTTTGTGATTTTTAGCTCACAATTAATCACTAAATGAGCTTGGGGGGAGGGTCATAGGCTTTCCTTATATATTTATGGTAGTAAAGGCTTAAAAATCTTCTTCTCTGAATAGACAAAGGCTAGAGGTTAGATATTTGGCATGAAACATTATGTAGTGGACCTATGCCAAGATTGTTTAAATTATAGCCCTCCCGTCCCAGGGACATTGATTTTCATTATGAACGTATAGTAAAAACTTAAAAAATCTTCTTGTATAAGAGCTTTAAGAGCTTTGATTTTTGTATATGATATCAACTATAGGTCCTTTACGATAGTTGTTCAAATTTTGCCTCTAGTGTCAAAATCGGCCCACAGGGGGTGGGGGTCATAGGCTTCCGTATAAGTTAAAAGGTTAATAACCTTCTAAGAATTGACAAAGGCTAGAGGTTAGATATTGGCATGAATATTCTGTAGTACACATCTACCAAGATTCTTCAAATTATAGCCTTTGGGTCAAAACTTGCCCCGCCCAATGGGTCATTGATTTTCATTATGTAAATACAGTAAAACAGGAACTAAAAAATGTTTTCTAAATAGGAAAAAGTTAGAGCTTAGATATTTGACATGGAACATTGTCTGGTGGCCCTGTATTAAGGTTGTTCAAATTAAAGCCTTGGTGGGGTTTTAATTTAACCTTATAGAAATAAATGTTCACCACTATGAGAATCAGAATCATGTTCATGAACCAGGTCTCTAGGTTAAAGTCACACTTACAGGTCATTGAAAATGCCTGTTTGGAGCCGAACTTTGACATTCATCGGGGGAGTTTAATGTAACGTGGCACAAATGTTCCTTCCCCATTGTGAGTCTAATTGCGCACATAATCCAGGTCCCTGCTACCAAAGTGAAAAGTCAAAGTTTCTGTACGAGGACCATTTAGTCATCATTTATTGATGGAATTTTACACAAATGACTACAAGTGTGACACATGTAATTGTTTCCCAAAATTTTTGGGAGACATATTGTTTTGCCTTTGCCGTCTGTCCATCCGTCTGGTTGTCGGTCCGTCCACTTTAAGCTTGTTCAGCCATCACCGGTCAAATTACTTCTGGGATTTCAACCAAACTTTATAGGAGAGACAGGAGTGATCAGTAACATCCCTAGTTGTGCACATCACCAGCATGTTCTGCTTCGCTGCACAAACTGGGCGCCACAGCTTAAAGTAGAAAAATCTTGTCCAGCCTTCACAGGTCAAACGACTGATGGGATTTTTACCAAACTTTACACAGGAGTGTTCAGTACTATCCCTAGTTGTGCACATTACCGGCATGTTCCGCTTCGCTGCACGAAATGGCCACCAGAGCTAAAAATTGAAAAATCTTGTCCGGTTTTCACAGGTCAAACTACTGGTGGAATTTTAACAAAACTTTACAGGAGTTATCAGTACTATACCTAGTTGTGCACTTCGCCGGCTCATTTATCTTCGCTGCACAAAATAGCTGCAAGAGCTAATTATAATTGAAAGGTCAAACTGCTGCGTTTGGATCTCCACTGAAATTCACAGGTGTTCAGTCCCATCCCTATTTGTGCATATCACTGCATGTTCTGCTTTGCTGCACAAAATGGCCGTCAGGGCTATGAATAGAAAGAAATGTTTATCCAGCTGTCACAGGTCAAGGTACAGGTGGGATTTCAACGAAAATTCACATGAGTGATCAGTACAATCCCTTGTTGTGCATATCCCCACCATGTTCTGCTTAGCTGCCAGAGCTAAAATTATAGAAAAATCATGTCTGCCTATCACAGGTCAAGCTGCTGATGGGATTTCCACCAAAATTCACAGGATACATAGGTTTGGGAGACATATGTTTTTGTAACAAAAACCCTTTTAGTTCAGGTTAATATTTGCAAGGTCAAGGTGACTAGAGACGGTAAAATATCCAGATATTTTCTGAATATTGACCAGAGCATAATATATATATATTTTGCATGAAGTATGGTCTAGTGAGCAACATCATTCAAATTCTTGTAATAGACACTAATTTTCACAGTTTTCACACAAATAATAGTCTGTCCTCAGGTGAGCGTTTTGGGGCCAATGGCCCCATTGTATATATTATCCAATAGTCTTCAGAACTAGACATTTTGGTTTGATAATTTAAATTTGAGCAATATTGGTATAATTAATATGTCTTTAAATATGAACATGTGGACGTATGTTTAAGTTTGCTGATTCAGTTAAAAACATTTTAAAAAGGAGCAAAATACAAGATTCTACCATTTTCGTTTCAGAATTGCTGCACTGATTATTAATGTTATGATTGATGTGTACGGATGTTTTCCACCTGAATGGTCTATATTCGAACAATTCCAACATCTTCTTGATCATGGCACTTTTTGGAGGACACTGTATTTTTGTGGTGGAGCTTATTTTGATTTTGTTAGAGAAAACAACAATTTCATCCATGTTCAAAACTGCATCAAACAAATGGTCGAATTGTTCAAAAATCATGAAGTTAGTTATGACTTTGTAGTAGATATCGAGAGCAATAGCCAATTATGTAGGACAACTAAATCATTACTGCAGTTGGAGTGTAAACGAGCAGAAATCGAAAAATATTGGTCAGAAGCCTATATGAAATTCAAAGAGGAAAAGGATAAATTACGGAAGTCGCTAAATGTGATAAAGATTATATGTAATCAATTGAAAAAGGGAGACATATATGAATGTTTTTTGAACATATTTGAACACTTAGGCAAAGTTGATGCACAACTAACGGGTGGAAAGGTCACCGCAAAGGAATGTATTCAAAATAATTTGATATGGAGCAACGTAGAGTCATTGCCGTCATTATGTGAATTCCTTGAACAAATAGTGTCCTCCAGTGTGTTTTGGAATATTTGCTTGGAGGATGTAAAAGAAGAATATAGGGAAAAGATAAATCCTATAGCAGATGACACTGACCCTCTTCGCTCAATTTGCCTCCTGTTTCAAGATATTTCTGTACAGGACAAATACGAAATGAACAGTGCAAACGCTATTCATTTTCTTAATATTTTAGCCAAATCTGGAGTACAATCATACAAGGAAGGATGGACCAGATTACTATCAGACAAGACATTGAAGATGAATGACGTTTTGAAAATGTTTGGGAAAAAGCCAAATGTTGTGGATGAGGTGAACATTGCAAGGAAAACTTTACTATGTAACATAAGTGAAGATATTGTTAGAACTCTGGAAAGAGTGTATGCTGTAGATAAAATTAAAACCGCAGTACATTCTGTAACTGCTGTGTTGAAAGCATTTAAAATCGATACCGATTCATCATTTTCATTGGCTATTGAGTCGTTTAACCAACTCAGAAAAGGGGCGGCCACAGATTATACATTTTTCGCTGTCAAAGATGCCCTAGAAATTATATTTTCCGCAACAAAAGACCTTTCAGATAATACAATTAGTATAATGAATGAACTTGGAAAATCAACTACCTTGATTGGTTTTCTTCAGGAGATCGTTGATGAGGATATAAGAAATTTAATAGATGCAGTAGAAGATATATCAGAACAACAAGTTCGTGAGTCGACAGTTTCAGCATTGATTGAGGTAAAACGTTACATTCAACCGATTCTTATACCATCAAGTGAGAGAACTTGCAGTGAGTTGGTTAATATACTTGAATCCCAGACTCGCTCAAGAGGTAATTCACAGAAACTTCCTGTGAAAATAGCAGATTGTATGGGTCATCTTCACAACCTGAAGTCTTTGTATAATAATGTTGCAAATAGAGGAGAGCAAACAAAGGAAATGATAAAGAATATAAACCACAGAGGTACATTTATTTTTCAGTTAAATAAGGAATCTGATTTTGTAGATTTTGAAGTTAACTACAAACAGAATAAAACAAAAGAAGTGCGTCAACGCTCGACACTCACGGATTTGAGAAGTCGAGCACTTCTTTTGATGAACACAGAAAGGAAAGAAGTTGGTGGAAGTCATGTTCAGTCAGAGGAATTGTCAGATTTTGTGAATTATATCAATTTATGTCTGGATATTGCTGACTGTCTTTTTGAACTGTATTCAACAGGACACACTGAGGATATGCGAATGCGGACTGTAGTTAGACCAGCTGAACTTGGAGATAAGAAAATTGCTTATAATAATATTTTGAAAACTTGGTTGTATGATCTTCAGGTCGAACGGAAAAAACACTATCTTATGAACTTTGTCCATGGCACACAAATTCAAGTTCTGTACAGATACTTGGAGGGAAATGAAAAGGATGTTTCAGCTATTCACACCTTGTTAAAATTCATACACCCAGCTATGCATGTTGGAAGTCTTCGAGAATTTTATCAAACTGAAAAGGCCTCTTTTATAGAAGATGAAAACAAAATGCTCCATTGTATTGGCGCAACATTGACTAAAGCATTTAATGGACTAGCACTGTATGAACGTCCAATTACAGTAGACATGTATTCAAAAAAGTTTACAGACCGAGTTCAAGCAAGTAAACTCCTTGTTGCTCAGTTGGAAGATGGGAGCGTTAATACGGTAAAGACAGTTATTGGTCTTTACTTAAATACTACACAGCGTTTGCCAGAGCCTAATCAAGTATTGTTTTGTACAAGATCAACAACAAAAGATGAACTTGACCTACTTATCAGAAGGTGTTTAGGAGGTGAAACATTTTATAAAGTTACACAACTCTTCTGTATAGCTAATGTTGAATTGTTATCCAATGAAATCCAGTTTGGCTTGGTTGATACTTTGAGACACCTTGGCAAACACCAGAAATATTTTTTAGCACTTGTATGTAGAGGCTCAAGAAATCATCCTTTTATTGATGAGTTGAATGACTTTGTAACATCTGTCACTCCAGCTACAGACAAAACAGTGCGTCAGATATTCAGGGAACATTTTGCGTGTGTCTCAACGATCACTTCAGATAAAGCAGGTCAGGGAAAGACCAGCTTTATCCATAGTGTTGCACATACAGACGAAAAAAGTGTTGCAACATTACACATTAGTGGCCCAATGAGAAAATCTACTTTAGTAGAGAAACTGCAATCTATGAATGTGAAAGAATTTCATTTATTGCATATCGATATTGGCAGTGTTGACGATGCAACAGAATTGGACACATTTATATTTGAATTGGTTGTTCTCCGTTTCGTGTCTGCAGCTAAGGTTTCATTTAGCTTGCGAACACATGATATCAAGATAGAAATAGCAAATACTATCCATGATACATTGAGAAATGCTCTTCAAACAGCTATGCTATTCACAAGGAATCATGTTGAATGGAAAGGAATCAGTTCTTTCGTTGTCAGCAAAGAAATCTATAGCCCTACACAGGTTGTATGCAAATACTTGGACAGTCTAGAAAAGAATATAATTGACAAATTTGATTTAATGGTACTGAAGGCAGACTTTAGTCCGTTGTCAAAGACTTATTGCAGACGTTTACTTGAGAAGTATTTAGATGATTCTCTTTTCACATCCTATCCCATCATACACACATTCTTAAGTGTTCTTGCTGATCAGCTTAAAAAGTTATCACAGAGCTCTTTCTTCCGTGTTTCACGACTGCGAGATATGGTAGGGAGCAAAACACCATTAACTGTGAAAAGCAAACTTGTTCTGGCAATGATGCAAATGTCTCTAGAGTTTGCAACAAGATCTGTCACAGAATGCAGAGAAGCCCAATGTTCTACTGTAGGAACGGGATATGATGTCGAGGACAGTGAAATCGAACCAGTTACTCTTGCTTCTGAAAGTGTTGATCGTGTGAGTGGAATGATCAGGTGGGAGGAGAGTAATCATCAAGTATTTGTTTTTCACAATCAGAACATTCAGACATTATCAGCATTGTATAGAAGACTAGACAAAGTAGAGGAAGCTGTAAAAATTCTATTTGAAAGCCAGATGAAGAAAAAAATGGATGATTTTTCTATAATGAATCAAGAAGCTCTTCAAAGTATATTGCAGAAGGTTTCACGTACAAATCCTTTACCATTACCTAGCAAGAAGCTTATCAGTCTTTCCAATGATTACGCCCTTACAGCAGACAACCTTTTGAAGATGGTTTTAATAATGTTAAGGATAAGAGCAAATGTGCCTGTTATAATAATGGGAGAGACTGGGTGTGGCAAAACATCACTGATTCGTTACTTGGCACAAATTTGTGAAGTAGAATTTGATGTCATGAATATACATGCTGGTGTGTCAGCAGATGAAATTCTTAGAAGAGTACATGGTGTAAACGAACTAGCGCTTAAAGATTTAAAATCAGAAAGATGGCTTTTCTTGGATGAAATAAACACATCAGAAAGTATAGGAATGATGAGTGATACAATTTGCCATCATACATGTCTTGGGAAAGAGTTGTCTCCAAATTTAATTATATTAGGGGCATGTAACCCATATAAACTAAGAACTTCCAAAGCAATATCAACAGCAGGCCTGGACAGTAAAGTGGTTACAGATGAACTCTCCAGGCTGGTATACAGAGTGCTACCTTTACCAGATATGTTGGTTGATTATGTATGGGACTTTGGCAGCTTGAGTGAAGAAGATGAAAACAAATATATTTTCAGAATGACATATGATGTGTTTCCTAGTGATTCAGATTTACATAGTGTATTGACGAGCCTTTTGTCGGCATCTCAAGCATTTGTTAGAGATAAGGAATCTTCTGCCTATTCCGTTAGCTTAAGAGACGTACAAAGATGCAAACAGTTGACCAAGTGGTTTCATGAAATCCTGACTAAAAAAGGAACACTGAAAGGCACTATACGTTTCCAGTGTGACATTTCATGCAGAGCAATTATCTTAGCCCTTGCCCATTGCTATCATAGCCGTTTTGCTGACAAGTTATTAAGAAAGCTTTACCGTGAAATCATAGCGAAAGTATTTGCTATGCACGGTTATGATTTCTGTGAAGGACATGAAGATTTTATACTTGGAGTTATTAGAGAGGAGCAAAAAGATATTTTGGGAAGAATGGAGCTTCCACCAGGTACTGCTTGCAACACTGCGCTCCAAGAAAATGTGTTTGTTATACTTGTTTGTATTTTTAACAGGATACCTATCTTTGTTGTTGGAAAACCTGGTTGTAGCAAGTCACTTGCAATGCAGCTCATACGAAGCAATTTAAGAGGAAAAGACTCTAAGGATGAATTCTTTAAATCTTTACCACAATTATATTGTGTTTCTTTTCAAGGGTCTGAATCATCAACTTCTGATGGGATTTTTAAGGTGTTTGAAAAGGCTGAAAAGTACCAAATTTCAAATAGCCGGGAAGATGTCTTGTCAGTTGTCATTCTAGATGAGATAGGTCTAGCTGAGATATCAAGATTTAACCCCTTGAAAGTTTTGCATAATTTACTAGAACCAGATGGCAAAAGTCAACCTAATGTAGCTGTAGTCGGTATTTCAAATTGGGCTCTTGATGCTTCAAAAATGAATAGAGCAATCCATCTTTCACGTACTGAAATGGATATTGAAGAATTGTTTGATACTGCTGTCTCAATTAGTGAATCATTTCTCGACTCAGAGGCATCAAAGTCGGAATCACTTTTTGAAGGGAGTAATATGGGTGATTCTGTGCCAGCCAATGATATTACAAATGAATTGCATGGTATGGCTGAGGCATATTTCAACTACACCAAACAAATGCGGTTTAAGAATTTCCATGGTCTGCGAGACTATTATTCTCTAGTAAAGTATGTTGCTCGCGTGTTTGCTGAAAAGGGGAGTGATTTAAATGAAGCTGAAAAGGCAAATGTGATAATATTGGGACTTGAAAGAAATTTTGGCGGATTGCCTGCAGAAAAACAAACTTTGAATGATGTGTTTAGAAGATTTACTCCTTTATCGTCCTTATCAAAACATACGGTTGTTGATTTGGTAACGCAAAACGTTCAGGATCCAATAGCGAGACACTTGATGCTTATAACAACAGGCGAGTCAGTACTTGGAATAATTGAACAGAAAATGCATGAAATTGGTTGTGAAAGAATTGAAGTAATTTATGGTAGTCAGTTTGAAGAAGATTTAACTGACGATTACAACTACAGGATTTTAAGCAGAATAATATTATGTATGGAGGAAGGTGTCATTTTGATATTGAAAGATTTAGAAAGTATTTACGGCAGTCTGTATGATATGTTAAACCAAAACTATACGACAATTGGGAAAAAGAGAAATTGTCGCGTTGCATTAGGGCCTTATAGCAATCCTATTTGCCATGTTGCAGATTCTTTCAGATGCATTGTCTTAATTGATGAAACCAAAATTGATATGTCAGATCCTCCCTTTTTAAACAGATTTGAGAAGCAATACTTGCGATTCTTCGATATTATTAACGACCCACAGAAGGCGCTTATCTCAGAGATCGAATCATGGATCGACGAGTTGACATCGCTAGGATCTAGTAAACTCAGTAAACATGATATATTTCCAATTTACAGTGAGGATATGGTCGCTTCATTAGTACTTAGGTATGACAAAAGATTTAAATTAGCAAAAGATATGTCATGCGAAGTAATTGAGAATGAAACAGTTTTCCGAGAATGTAAGAAGAAATTGCTATGGGTTATTAAACCGGAAATAGTCATACGCATAAAATCAACAAATCAAGTACTTGGTAAAAGCAATTCTCATGACGTTGTTGGAGATTACTTCTCTTTGCCTGTTCATGGTGGCCTCAACGAATTGATATCATATCATATGGAAACACAGGCTACCGGCGCCGGACATTTATCAGTACTCTTTACAAACAGCAATGTCCATGCTAAAGTACATCAGTTAATAGAAGATTTAAAAGTACAAGTGGAAAAGGTTGGTGCCTTTAAATCGGAAAAACAATTATCATCTAAAATACAATTCTTCTGGGAAAGAGATGACTGTCAAATTCTTGTTGTACAATGCAATGCAAAAGAAGACGAAAGGCATATAATGCTTACTAAACTGGTAATTGAACGGTACAGACGTGAGTATCAACGTAAAGATTTCACGCAACAAAAGCATGTTTATTTTATTGTACATTTAGATAGAAGTACAGGCAAGTCAAGTTGTGTTACTCAGCTGAACTTCTTGTCCGATTGGAATTTAATCATGATTGATAGTATTGATTGTCCAAAGATAAAGCTGCCAGACTTATGCAGTATGCCTTTGCTTGATGCAATACAACAAAAGCGACCTTTTTACGACTACCTTAAGGATGAATTATTCTGGGCTTTTACAAGAATAAAATACGAAGATCAAAGTCGTAATGTAAAAAGCTTAACAGATATCATCACGAAAATGGAAAGTTCTTCTGAATTTTTAGAAATATTAGACAAAGAAGTGTGGAGTTGGATTTGGAAAAATAAATCGGGAAATAAAGATAAAAACTGGCAGTTAACAGTTGCTTGTGATACAACGCTGTTAAGCACTTCCTCTAGTTTTGTTAATGCACTGGAAACATTTGTCCTTGGAGTTATCAAGATGCCATTGTCAAAGTATATTTATAGTTTTGAATTGTATGGTATTTTAGATAGTTTTTTTTCGACAGAGAAACGATATACATCAAGTGGTTCATTGATCGACAATAATGAGGAAAGGCAACAAGCGTGGGTAAGCTTATTGCAAGACACTAATGTGTTTTCTCTTAATGGTATACCAGATGAGACAGGTCCAGAATGCTACACTTGTCCCACTCATGACTTATCATTGAAAATGCCGTTTAGCTTACGGATCTTTGAAAAGGTAGAGGAAACAAAAGATAATTTCTTAGAAATTGTCCAGTTATATAAAACGCAATGTCTCCTTGAAGATGATGAAGAATTACCCAACGAAGTATATGAAGAAGTTCTATGTCAGCAAGAAAGTTTTATTGTTCAAAAGTTACCAGATTTAAACAAATTTTTGTATAAAATGTGGGGTGATGATTATCTTGATGATTTTTGTAATGTATGTTCCCACAAAGTATGTCCTAGTATGTATAAAAGACAAAGAACTGAATATGCAAAACTGATATTGGCAAAGCATATCAAGATGGATTATGAAGACTCATTTAATTTCGTCATTCGCTTGCACACCACATTTTGGGTACAGTTCCCATATTTCAGAGCAAAGATGATGCTTATCGAGGCAAGCTTGAAAGTGGTTCCGGGAATGGAAAGTGCGATAAAGAAAACATTGTCTGGTTCTCTTTATATTTGTACAGCAACATCCAAAATCACTCAAGATGTTTTGCTAGAGATACAGACTGGGGCAGTAAATACTGAACTTACTAAGGCCAATGGACTCTCTGAAGGATCTTCAGAGTATATGGTACTTCAAAATAAATGTGCAGATGAAAGTATCGACTTAGAAAAAACAACTATTGAGGGAACCGTATTAAGTTATGATACATTGAGTAGTACAAGCGAAATGGATGAAGAAAATGGAAAATGCAAAGAAGATTTTGAGGAAAAGGAATTTGCAGAATCAGATGATGAAAAGTCTCTTGAAATGGTTCCTGAACAACTTCATAATTCTGGGGAATTTTACATGGAAGAATTAGAAGATATTAAACAAGAAACAGTTTATTCAAATCCTAGTGAAACTTCTTTAAGAACAGAGCCACATACCGATGAAACAGATACAGACGTTAACACTTTAGACATGAAGCATGAAATGCCTCTTTCAGATAACGAGTGCCTTGTACAACTACTTTGTCAAAAGATGATCCCAACATCTGACACGATAAGTTTCCACGGAGGCGTATTAAATTGGTACAGAAAGGTTTCTAGTACCCTTTCCTTAGCATATCAGGTAACCCAAACCACAAAGCTGCTGTATGCACTGAAAATATGTACTGAACTCTCTGCCGAATTGATAATACCATTTGGTTTAGATGATAAGTTAATGGAAGATATTGGAAACGTTCTCGATCAAGGATTTGACTTAGATTCAAACGAAGTGTTTGAACAGATCAAATCTGTTTTTGATGCGGCATTAAAAAATGGATCAGATTTAGATTGTACAATTTCAACAACATGCATGAAAATGCTTTCTTCATACTTGATCATGTGCATATATTGTGAGCCAGAAACATCTGCATTGAATTTTATGTATACTTTAATACTTAATGATTATATTCGCGAAGAACATATTTACCTGCTGAAGGCACCATTGTGTTTGTCTCTAAGTCTAGTTGAAAGGGAAATCTTTTTTGATTTGATACATTCTCAGTCTGAAACTGACGATGATTCACAGCACGATGATTCAGAGCATAGCGATTTGTCAGAGATTGGAGATGACTGTCCTTTATTTGAAAATCTAAATCAGGTTATATCTTCTCTTTGTGAAACAAAAGACATCGGGCACAAATTCATTGTACTTATAGTTGATATGTTTCAAAACATGTTCACAGAATACCTCAGAAAAGACGTCGAAAATAAAGAGTCAGTTACCGAGGTTGACGCCAAGTCTTCGTTTTCTCAAGCACAGGCAGAGGAAATTTTTTTAGCATGTCACATGATTCTCCGTAAGGAAATTGTTGGTATTCGCTATGTTGCAGCAGTTGGATACTTCAAAGCTTACATTGATTTCATAGTTAGTCAGTGGAATATGAAAGAAGGGGTAGATTCAAACATAGAAATATTAGATGCTGTCCTATCAGATGACACAAATGCTGGTTTGTATCAAAATGCTAACATATTTTTTATCAAAATGATGTCAAGAAACAGCAGCTTAAGCCGTGTTGAATCATTTTGTCAAACATATTCCAACGAATATAAATGTTTTAAGCAGATGCAGTGGACTGAAAGTTACTGTAAACAATGTGTTGAGAAGGCACCACTTTGTATATACATCAATAAAGATATGCATGAAAAAGTAACATTATGTAGAAACAGTTCTGATATTAGTGCATACAAAGACGAAATACAAAATATTGTAATTGAAGCAAAGGAAAGTGTTGATGGCTTATTAAGTATGTTTTCCTTGGCAATTAATGAGTTTTACCTCTGCCGTGTATCAGCACCATTAGATGACACAAAACGCACAAAAGCATCAATATTTTTGAATGAAGTGATAGGACAGGGATTTGATAACGAAGTTGTAAGCTTCTTACAGTGCATTACTGGAGAGGAAAATTTCTATTTTGATGTGTTTAATCTTACAGAAGAATCTTCGGATACTCAGTTTTATAAAGTGTCATTTCTCTCGTCCCTTTATGCCGTCGTGCTTGGAAATTTTGCCTTTACTGAAAGAAAATTGATGTCAATTTTTATGAAATGTCTATGCGTTCCGTTGAACCTGAAAGACTGTATGTTTCCTGGATTTCACAGAAGCAACAACAAAGGCATTTCAAGCTTATCTGCTTCAGGTATGTGTGCAAAAATAGCCTTATGTTCATGTGGAAATCAAGTTGCATTTTATGACAACAGAGAAGTGTTTATATGTCCAGTTTGCAACAGTAAATTTGACGATGTGAAAAACAGCGATGACATAGTAGATGAGACAGACTTGGAATGTTTATTTTCCGTGAAAACAGATTTAGATCTCTTAGAATTTTCTCAAGGTATGCATCCAGTATCACTTCATGTTGTTCAATTGGTCACAAAGGCATGCTTACTTGGCTCAAAGGCATTGAATCCAAGCGATCCTCCAAATATTGAAGAAATAACAGGTGTTCCAGACGTCAACGTGTGCGAGGAGCTATGGAGTGCTATTGGTAGTCACTGGGAGACACTTCGACGACTTTTGAATGTAGAAAATAGCCTTTTGTTCGTGTTTTTGCAAGCTATTTTATACGAATCAACGGATTTGATATGTAATGCTAATTTATCAAATACTTTAAAGGAATTACTGTCTTGGGAAAAACAGTTTGATCACATTATTGGTGCTGTTCTAGAGAAAAGGTTTACTCACATACAACAAATCATCAAAAGGCATGACGGTTTACATGACTTTGGAGAAGAAGTTATGGAACGACGCATTTACGAAGTTGATACTGAAGACAGTTTATCAGACGAAAGAGCCTTATACAGGACTACTGTTGTTCCTGACAAAGTAAGTTTTGTATCAGAATTATATCTACAACGTGATGAATTTCGCTTACTGACCTTTGTCCTTCAGAACGAGGAAAAGCTCAACCTACCTGAACACATTTTTAACATTATAAATTGGCATATGGCAACGATTGCAAATTCAAATTACATTCTTAAAAAGTCTGAATGCCTGAAAATGAGTGCTCAAGACTTTATTTATAACAAACAAGAAAGAAGCAAAGGACATTCTGTCATAGTTTGGGACCGATTTGAATCTTTTAGGAAGTCGTGGGACTATTTGATTGACAATATGAGTGACAAAGGTATTGTTTCGAAAATGAAGCGCATTCATAGCGAAAGTAAAATGTTTGATTGTCTAATTTTGAATGAAAAATCAGTAGTATTTGAAGTTCTAAAAACACTTGTAGATATACAGAATAGCTTGGTTACAGAAGTACTAACAGTTGCTAACTCGAGCATTGCATTGCAGTTCCTCTTCCGAGAAATGAATGTAGCTGTCTTTCCAAGTGTACAAATAATGGATATCAAAAGTGAGCAGCTATTAACAAACAAAATAAACTGGCAAATACTACTAGGACAAGAATCACAATGCGATTTGCGATATGGACACGGAAGGTTTATACATTATTATTTTGAAAGCATAGAACAGTCTGTTGCCGTTGATGTATTTTCAGGTAAAGCTTTTATTCAAATGACAAAGGGATTTCCAAAGATAATTTTCAAAGACGAACTACACAAGAATTATTCCTCATTGATAAGAGAACTGAAATTAAACATTCCACAAGAATCACTTCCGTCGGAAATAGTAAATGGAATCAAGTCGAGAAAAGAAGAGGACCCACGAATGGCTACTCAGCTTCTGACACACTTAGGTATTGTAATGTCATTACTAAAGAAGACAAGAGGTGACCCAGATCTCCCTCTTGTAGAGTATATAAACAAATGGAAGTCTCTATTTGCTGATAGTTTTCCGAAAAAACTGTTGCCTAGCCCAGACACTTCTACGAAGCTGTGCCATGTGATCGGGCTCAGTGAATTACTGGAGGAGCTATGTGCTGATTCTGTAAAAAATGGCTTGAATGAAGAATTTAGATGTAAACTTGACAGACCTATTATGGATCAAATATTGAAGACCCTTAAAGAGGAACGTTTAGCTAATGCATTTCTCAAGGCTTTAAAGCGGTTCACATACAGATGTCTTTCATCCCGCACGGCGAGCTCTAATCAGACATTAAGAGAATATCTATCAGATGACACCTTTTGGCCAGACGGTTGTCTTATAGACGGATATTTGATCATCAACGAGAAACATCTTAAACTGACTGATGTTCTACCTGACGGGTTAATGGTACGCCATACATTCGCATGTCTGACTGAAATGGAAAAGAATATTGAGGTACGTTTTTATACGATGTTGTGTTTGATTGTTTTAAAGATTTTTATGCCTCTATTGTCGTCACAAACCGTCCGTCCATCTCTTCTTTGAACATCATCTCCTTAACCACAAAATCAGTAATTATTACATCAAAACTTTGTAGAAATGATCTTTATATCAAAACTTTGTAGAAATGATCTTCGGGTGATCTTACTTTAATCTTGTTCAAAAAAGTATATTGTTATGGCAAGAGAAATAAAAATATTTAATAAATCATCTTTTTAGTGCCCTACCGGTTTACCGAAGGGGACTTTAGGTTTACCCTCCGTCCGTCTGTCTGTCTGTATGTCTGTCCGTCTGTCAGTCTGTCTGTCTGTCAGTCCGTCAGTCCGGCCGTCCACAAAACTGGATCCCGCGATAACTTGAAAAGTACTGAAAATATTTTTATGAAACTTGATATATGGATAGATGGCAGTATGGAGATTATGCACGTCTTTTTCTTTTCTTCCTAGTATGTTGAAAATTCCGGTTGCTATGGCAACAAATAGGCTTAAAATATGGCAAATTTTACACATAAACTGGATCCAGTGATAACGCAAAAAGTACTAGAAATATTTTTATGAAACTTGAAATATGGGTAGATGGCAGTCTGGAGATTATGCACGTCTTTTTCTTTTCTTCCTATGTTGAAAATTGTGGTTACTATGGCAACAAATAGACTGAAAATATGGCAAATTTTACACATAAACTGGATCCTGTGTTAACGCAAAAAGTAATAGAAATATTTTTATGAAACTTGTGATATGGGTAGATGGCAGTCTGGAGATCATGCACGTCTTTTTCTTTTCTTCATATGTTGAAAATTCTGGTTGCTATGGCAACACATAGACTGAAAATATGGCAAATTTTACACATACACAGGGTTCCCACGGTCAGGGAAAAGTCAGGGAAAAATGATTTTTTTTCAAGGTTAGGGAAAAGTCAGGTAATTTTGAAATTGGTCAGGGAAGTTTGAAAAATAACCAAAGTCAGGGAAAAATCAGGGAATTTTGTAGAAAATAATGTATGTCAAACAACAAGAAGCAAAATCAGTAAAAGCTAAGGCAGTTTCTTCCATTATTTTGGCTATCTTTATTTTATTTTTTATTATGAGAGTCTGTTTTATTTTTAAATTCTTTTACTCTTAAAAATGATTATGCTTCTGCCTGAAGATTTTGTCATTAACAGAAACTATCTTTTTACGAAAGAAACTAAAAGGAGTTTAAGCATCCCTTGCCTCCTGAGCTGTTTATGGTTTGTTCTTGTGAAAAAGGCTGATAATCTGCTCAGGAGGCTGAAAATAGATAAAAATGAACTTGCTTGTGAAGTCAAATGCCAAGTGCAATGCCTTTAGGGTCAAGGTCAAAGAAAAGTAATAAAAGAATCCAGTAAAGATATTGAGAAACTTGATAAAACACTTAGTGGACTTTGATTAAGTACCAATCATTTTAGTGCCATGTTTTTATTTTGAACACATGCATTAAACCATAACTTTGAGATACTAACTGCCATGGCTAGTTTTATTAGTATTACTGCATATTGCTTTTTATGTAGCCACTTCATTACCTGTCTTTTTGTTTCTTTTTTAACACAAGTTTCTATTGATTACTATCATATATTTTATTTAAATGCAGGCCTGTTTTAGTCAATCCTCCATTGATAACACTGCTTTGTATTTTTAAGAAAATGAAACATCTTTTAGCATGACATGTATTATCAAATACTTTACATTTTGGATAAATGTACTCATACTTGTTGAAAGTAAACAAGACAAGTAGCTTATGACAATCACTCGCTAATATTTTTGTATGTTTTATCGTGAATAATTTAAAATAAAGAATTGGAGAAAATAGGTTGGCTGTTTGAGGAGGAGGAGGTCGAAATACATGTATAAAAATACATTAAATGCTCTAAGATTGTACAAACTTGACGCTGTTATTGGTCAGGGAAAGATGGCTTTGGTCAGGGAAAAGTCATGGAAAAGTCAGGGAATTTTGATTTCTCTTCTTTGTGGGAACCCTGATACACTGAATCTAGTGATAACTTAAAAAGTACTGAAAATATTTTTATGAAACTTGACATATGGGTAGATGGCAGTCTTGAGATTATGCATGTCTTATCTGTTCTCCCTATTTTGAAAAAATAATGGTTGCCTTGGCAACAAATAGGCTTAAAGCATGGCAAATATAACATTATTTGTGATTAGTAAAAAAGAGCTATTTTTTTTTATGAAATTGCATCTTTAATTCAAGAGTTATCTCCTCTTTAAGAATTTTGCTTTTAAAAATGTTATATTTTGGTAACAGGGATGTTTCAAATATTAACTTTAGAGTGTCCTTCAGTCCGTCTGTCTGTCTGTTCATAAAAACTGTTTCCTGTGATCACTTTTAAAGAACTTTTCCAACAAATTTACTTAAAATATAGAAAAATTGAAACATTAGTGAATGGCCAATGGCCCTTCAGAATGTTGATGGGGTTCTAACCGGTAGGGGACTTATGGATTGCTTGCAATACTATGATAATTGCTTGTCTGAAACTATAAAGGCTAGAGCTGAGATATTTGGCATGAACCATCATGCAGTAGACATCTACCAACAAAGCTTGTTAAAATAACAACCCTGTGGTCACAATTGGCCTTGCTCTAGGGGAGGTCATGGATTCTATTTATATGTTTAGAGTTAACTCCTTAATACCAAATCTCTTTTAAAACCATAAAGATTAGAGCTTAGATGTTTAGCTCGTAACGTAACTTACTAGGCTTCTACTAAACTTGTTCAAATAATAGCCCTGGTTCAAAATAATAATAATTATAGTAATAATAATAAAACTTTCATAATGAAACATAAACATAAAAAGTTCTGGTAGGGTTATTAACTTGAAAAATGGAACACTTTAAGATGTGTTCCTCAACCAACCTAGCTGTCGTGTTTGGTTAAGTGAACTCTCAACATCTACATTATCAGTCGGTAGGCAGTTTTTTAAAAGTACTTGATTAAGGTATTAGATGTATAATAAACACTTTTTCAAAAGGCATTTAAAACTTTATATTAATAAACTTTTCTTGACATAAATACAAAAAATTTAAAAGTTTACGATCATGTTTGAAATATATTGACAATTGAAGTATAACTTTTGTATCTGAAGAAAAGATTTGCTAGTTTCATATTTTTCTTAGTTGAACAATACTAATAAAAATATTGTTTTATGCAACCGCAGCATCTGCGATGTGGTGGCATATAGCGGTTCACATGTGTGTGTTATATAATTTAAAAATCTTCTTGTGAAAAACCACTGCTCCAATTTCAACCAAACTTGGCAGGATTGATCCTTGGGTAAAGGTCTTCTACCAAAGTTGTTCCAATTTTGCATCTAGTGTCAAAATTAGTCCAACCAGGGGGGTGATAGGTTTTCTGAAGGTACAAGGTGTAGAGCTTTAATATTTAATATATAATACCGTCTATAGATCCTCTACAAAAGTTGTTCAAATTTTACCCCTAGTTTTAAAATTGTTCCTGCCCCGGGGGTTATAGGTTTTTGTTTGTATGTATGTAGTAAAATAGAGTGAAATAAGAATCCCTAAAGAAAGCCCAACGCGACAAAATTGAAAATGTTGCAGGCTCGGTTTGATTGAGCCTGTTCATGGATGGTACAGGAAAGTGCAAACTACCGTCCGCGCCCCAAGCACCGGCTTAAGCAGAATTCAACATTTAACATGAACTGGTAAAATTAAAAAAAATTCAAACATCCGCAGATGTGTTCATATGGCGGTTATCATGGAACCTTCAATGTGACACGTTAGTGCCATTCCATGAAAAGCGGCATATGGTCCCCAAAACTTGAAAAGTCTTCATCTTTGAATTGACAAAAGCTAGAGGTTAGATATTTTGCATGAAACATTGTATGGACCTCTACCAAGTTTGTTCAAATTATAGTCCAATGGTCAAAATTGGTTCCGCTGTTCGGTCATTAATTTTCACTATGTACATACAGGAAAAACTTTTAAAATCCTCTTGCCTGAAGATACAAAGCTTAGAGCTTTAAAATTTGGTATATATTATCATTAGTAGATCCTCTACCAAATAATGTCAAAAATGGCCGTTTCCCGGGGGTCATAGGTTTTCCTTAAAGATATACTATGCTCATCTTTGAGTAAAATATTTAAATCGAAGAAATTTATTAAAACCTATGAAATTCTTACTGAATATGTCTTATTTAAATAAAAAATGAATGATAAACTATATTGAAAGTCACGTTCTCTTAAACAGGACAAGTAAAGTTGGTCTTTTCTTAAAACTGCCAGTTTTTTTAACGACACTATATATTCATATTGTGACGATCTATGTGTGTAGAGTTTTAAACATGACATATTAACTTTGAGTGAAGTCAAAACATGTTTATTTCATATTTACAAAGAGGCTGTGTAGCAATAAACAATATTTTCTGATATCATATTTGAGCACTGTATATCTTTAAATGTTTATAGTAAAAACTTAAAAAGTCTAACTTCTCTGAATCAAAAAAGGATAGAGTTTAGATATTTGGCGTGAAACCTTGCTTAGTTGACCTCTACCAAGATTGTCCAAATTAAATCCTTGGGGTTAAAATTGGCCTAGCCCCGGGATCATGGCTTTTCAATATGTACATATAGTAAAACAGGAACTAATGTTTCCTCAAAAGGAGAAAGCTACAGTTTAGATATTTGACATGAAACATTGTCTGCTGGACCTGTATCAAGGTTGTTGAATTTAACCCTTGGGTCAAAATTCTGCCCTGCCTAAGGGGACAGTGACCAACTTTCTTGTCCTTTGATGGAAAGCCATGCAATTTGGATCATGTAGACAGTTTGAGATGCAAAATTGAATTTTAATATTGACTGACCTAGATATGACATGTGACCCACTTTCTTGTCCTTTTATGAAGAGCTATGACATTTGAACCATGTGCACAGTTTTAGATGTAAAATTGAACTTTGATATCAGCTG